CAACCCAGAGCAGCGCGCGGTGAGTCGGGCGGAGCAGCTAGGGAAGAGTTGCTGGGGGTTCACGGTGGGGAGGAGGCTAAGGGCAGGAAGGACGATTGTTTCCATTCCTACATTTGCTAGCTGCTGGAGACTGTGGAGGCAGGCCGGGGAGCTGTGACCCTGCACATTCTAGCTGGCAACTTTCCCCAAATTAGGGTCCGCCGGCTCTGAGGACCGACTTGCCTCTCTAGGGAAGACAGGAGGCTGGTGGTGACGTTTTCTTGGGAAGGGGAAGGGAGGTTGTGGGTATACTCTTCAGAGCGCTAGCTTTGGGCCCAGAGGCCTATATTTGAATCTTCTCCTACTACCGACTGGTGTTCTTGGGTGGTCCCTTTTCTTTACTGAGCCTCAGTTTTCCCATCTATTAAATGGGAATATAATGCTACCTCCCAGGGTTCCTGTGAGAATGAAACCAAAAGACGCTGCAAAATGCTGAGCACGGAACTGTGAGTACACATAGGTCCGCATTTAGCAGAGAAGAATCGCCACTCTATCCTTGCGCAGTGCACTTTGGGCCAGGCCTGCCCTCTCAAGGGTGACAGAATGGCTTTCCTGCCCAGGAATCAATGGGGCACGTCCAAGAGCAAAAGCCCTGTGGCCAAGGATGATCCTGGCGACCTGGCGGCGCTCTGGTTGGTGGCTGCCCTGGCCTTTGCTTGGGACCACAATATGGCAAGGACAATTGCAGCTTTCCTTAAGGACATCCTTCACCCTTCCTTCTTAAGCGTTATTCTTAACCCCCAGACACCTTCGCCTCATAAAAGTGGGAGCAGCTGTCAAAATTATTAACACCTGAAGACTCCCTGCTACAGAGCAGAGTTCCCATTTTGCAGGTGAGAACTGTGAGGTCACAGATGTATCCCAGTTAATGGAGATAACTTAGTCTCTTCCACTCTCCCATATGTGTGTTTAATGCTGTGTGTTGCATTCTCTGTTAATCAGAGAGTAAACATAGGCCCGTTTGGGCAGCCAGAGAAGGAGGCACCAGGGTCAGACATTGCAATGCTTTCAGGATGGGGCGCCCTACAGGGTTTACTGCGGTCCCCAGGGTTGACGTAAGGAAGAAATACGACACCAAATTCAGGAAAGCCACTCTCACCCTCTGCCCCTGGAATGGACCCTGGAGTTTGGAACAAGATCTTGCTCTTGAGGGAAATGGTCCTTGCGCGTTTCGAGCCGGAGAAGACGCCTTTGGCTGTTGCGCAGGGTTCCCCTTCTCCAACGCTCCCCCCTACGCAGTCTTTAAAGCCTCCTCCGAATGCCGGATCCGGAGAAGGAACTGAATCTTGGGCCTGCCGCCTTTTCCCGTAAGCAGCAACCCGGTGGTCTTGTCAGGAAGTTTACGTTTGAAGGTAAAGACGGTTTTTTTTGTATTTTATGAGGGTTTTTTTTGGAATGAGCCACAGCGATGGCTGCCATTCTGGACCATGCTCATTCACAGTTGTGTCCCCAGAGCACGGTGCTCCGCGTACAAAGGGCGCCAGAGAAAGGTGGACCACCAAGAGCCAACCCCTGCTCACTGATTCAGCGAGAAAGTAAAGTGTCTCTTCCCATCCTCTCGTCCCACGGATACGATGCCTTCCCCAGCTCCCCCCGCGCCCGGCCGTAGTGGTTTCCGCTTCGCTGTACCCCTGCCACTAAGATGGTCTGTCCCTGCTGCCTGCCGTCAGACAACCCCCGGCACACGCGCAGGATGCCCCTGTCTGTAGTTATCAGCACGCACTCCCCCGCCCCACAGTCCAGCCTCCGCAGACCTGGGCGCTACCCCTTAATTCTAAAGCCCCCTGCTCCTCCACCCTCGCTGGGCTGTGGGACTTGCAGGATTTGGACCCTAGCGGGGCTCATTCTGTGCGCTTATATGGATACATAACAGGTTCGCATTCTGACTGGGTTTAGGTGAGTAGTTGCCACGCCGCATGGTGTGGGCTCCACCCCCTGGAACGCTGGCGAGAGGCGGCCACGTGGCCTCAGCCTTGCTAGATGAGCAGCAGGTGGGCCTCTTTCTGGAGAACTCCCGCACTTAATTCCAGTGCCCACTATGTCGCCACCTCCTCCGGGGATCTCTGAATCTGTCCTTGACCCTGGCCCCGCAGTGGGCGCATCCAAGTGGACTGGATGAATCTGAATGGATCCCAGACCTGGGGGACTTAAGCCAGACAGGACAGAGGAGTCAGAGCACCAGCGGCCAGTGCAGGGCGCAGCACAAGTGCTGGCACAGGGTGTTCTGAAAATGGGATTTGGGAGGGTGTCTTGGGGTTCCAGGCAGTTTTTAAAATCTGTCTTCACTGTAGTGAAGTACCCGGAAGTAGGCACTATTCTTATCCTCATTTTACGGAGCGATTAAGTGTTCTTTCACCATGACAGAGCAAGAATTTGAAACCAGGTCTACCCAATGCCAAAGCTTGTCTTAACCTCCTTACTATAAGCATATCCTGCAAAAGAAGCCATGTGAGCAAAGATGCTGAGGTGAGAAAGAATGCAGAATAGAGGAGGAGACTACGGGGAGGGGGGAAACGTAGTTTCTGGAGCACCCAGCTCTGTCCACAAAGAGGCAGGAGTGAGGCTGGAGAGGATGCTGGGGACCCTGGAGAGCCTTGTAAGCCAAAACAGGAAAGGGGACTTGGTCCTGAGGGTGATGCGGGGCTGACACCCCCCACCCCGAGGTTTTATACAGGAGAGTAATGCACTTTCTCTGGCTGCAGTTAGGAGGGTGGGTGCAGGTGGGGGAGGAAAAGCAGAGAGGTAAGTGCAGTCTACTTTAGATCTAGCTTCTCATGGTGTTTCTCATTATACACACATAGAAAATGATTACTTTTGTATGACACACTGGGGTAATAAAGGGGGCTGTTTGCAACTAGAGGCAATCAATCCAGGGGCTCCAGACACCTGAAGACCCTGCACAGCCACCCCTAGGGCTGAAGACTCTCAGGCAACATGTACCCCAGTCATAATGGACCTGGACTCAGGTACTAACAGTGAAGGATGAAGAACAATCCTAGATTCAAAGGATGATTAGAGAGCTAAGATAGTATCACATCATGAGGCATGAAGATGGAGGATAACACTTGGGTCTCTGGACTGAATAACTGGATAAACTAGTTCTCTCACTGCTGCAGGGAACATGGGGCCAGGGCTGGTTGATAGGGAAATTATGCCTTCTTTCTAGCTGTCTGTGTTTGAGGGACGTGCAGAAGCCCAACACACAGTGGATCGGGCTCTGGAGTCAGACTGAGTCCAACTCCTACTTTCATCAGCCTCCTGGTTCTGTTGCTTTGAGCAAAAAACTTGATCTCTCTAAACCTATCCATTCATCTATAAGATAGGGATAAGAATAGAATTATAGGTTTGTTATGAGAATAAAATGAAATAATGTACAGTGCCTGGAACATCATAAGTATCTAAAAATGGCAATTCTATTTTGTTATTATTTATTATTATCAGTAAATCTGAAGCTCAGAAAAGAAATAATTTCAAAAATCATCAAAAGGAAATTGAAACCGTGAGAATAAATGAGATGACCCAAAGAGTGTGGATGATGAGAAGGAAGGAAGTTGAAGACCAGGAGCACTGACATTTCAGGGGTGAACAGAGGAAGGGGTGCCTAAGAAGATATAGAGAAGAAGGAGGAAGACCATCAGAGCCTGACGTCATGGAAGCCATGTGTCACAGCTACACAGCTGATCTTCTTTCTCACTTCCTCCTCTCTAAGAGAACCTGATGTTGTGAGGATAAGCACTCTCTGGATGTCTGTGTGCCTCAAAGTAGCCCACAGCCCCAACTTCAAACCAGGAAGTGAGTCCCCACTGGAAATCCCATTTCCCTTGCCAGTGATTGGTTTAGGAAGGTGTATTTGATACCTTTCTGGCCAATGGGACTGAGTGGAAAGTCTGCTGGGGGACTTCTGGAAACGACTCCTTTGATTTAAAGAATTGCACATGCAGATCAAAACCATGATAAGAAACCACTTCACACCCACTAGGATGGCTGGAGTCAAAAAGCCAGACTAATAATGAATGTTGATCAGGATATAGGAAATTCAGAACCTTCATACTGCTGGTGGGAAGCCACTTGGAAAACAGTCTGGCAGTTCTTCAAATGATTAAACACAGAGTTACCATATGACCCAAGAGTTCCATTCCTACGTATGTGCCAAGGGGAGTGAAAATGTTACGTCCACACAGAAACTTCTACACAAATGCTTATAGCAGCATTATTCATAATAGCCAAAAGGTTCAGCTCAAATGTCCGTCAACAGTTGATTGGATACACAAATGTGGTCTGTCCATAAAATGGAATAGTATTTGGCCATAAAAAGGATGCAGTACTGATACATGCTACGACATGGATAAACCTTGGAAACATTATTCTAAGTGAAAGAAGCCAGCCACAAAAGACCACATACTGTATGATTCCATTCATATGAAAGTCCAGTACAGGGAAATTGATAAAGACAGAAAGTAGATTAGTGGTCCCTTAGGACTGGGGTGGTAGCAGGGGGATGCGGAGTGATAAGTAAAGGATATGAGGTTTCTTCTTGAGGTGATGAAAATGTTCTAAAATTGCTGTGGTGATAGTTGCACATATCTGTGAATAGACTAAAAACCATTGCACTGTACAAATTAGTGAATTATATGATACGTTAATTATATCTCAATAAAACTGTTAAAAAAGAAGCAACAACAAAAAAAGACATATGTAAAAAATACAGACTCTTCTTCTCAACGTTGTCTTGTTTGGTTGGGATGTGGGGAGTGTACCAGCCATCTTGCTACCAGCATGAGGGAGATGTCTGCACAAGGAAACCGGCAGAGTCGCGAGGATCACGGAGAAGCAGCAGAGGAGCCCTGGCAGTAGCAAGCTCTGCTTGTCTTGTTACGTGGCAGGATAAATTGTTTATGCCAGACTGAATCAGAGTTTTTGTTGTTGATGTTATTTCTCAATAACTAAGTACTTTAATCACCAAGAGGTTTAATATAGGGAAGTGGCTTCTTACGAAAACCTCAAGGGTGCTAGATGGTCAGGCTCAAGCTGACCCTCCAGGAATGACTCTTAGAAGCTGCAAAACTGACCCACTATGGGAGCTACCACCTCTCCCCCCCGTGTCAGGAGTGGGGGACACAGCAGGCCACCCCTGGAACTATTGCATTCAAGAACATGGTACATTACTTGTGTTCCAGGGATCGGAAAGCCATAGTCAAACCATCATAGCTGCCTTCAGCAACCACGAAGCTGGTGAATGAACCTGGAACTCTGCTTCAGGAAACTCACCCATCTCCTTGACCTTACTTGCCAGCAGAAAACAAGGCAGCAGGAGGATGGCTTTCCTGACTTCCACCTTCCAGATATCTCCCCCCATTGCCCACGTCCTTTGCTCTCTATTCCCACTTCCATCTCTGCTCTTCTATCTGGAACCACTTTTCCTCCTGCCTGCTACGTGAATGTTGATCAGGATATAGGAAATTCAGAGCTGTTTATACATGTCTACATGTGTATATACATATGTATCTCCTTTTGAGTGTTCTGAGGGTCTGCTTGTGAAGGCCTTTCACGCTTAGTTTACCTGAAAATATCTTTGTTTTACCCTCATTCTTGGGTTGTTTTCCTTAGACATAGAAGATAGACTGTCAGTTATTTTCTCTTCTTTTTCTCTTGTGTTTGTGTTAGTTTTTGTGGGAAAGAGGGCAGCATGTGTCTGGGCCATTTGATAGTTCCTTTCCTCACAGAGTGGACGAGATTGTGGGCCACGGCCAGGGCCTAGAAGGCCTCCCATCATGGAGACAGTGGAAGAAATCAGAATGATGGGACACATGGTCAAGGTGGAAAAGCAGGTGAGTGTGGCATGGAGTTTCACTGGTGTGGCAGAGCTGGTCATTTGTCAAGAAGCTCTGGAAGGCCTCGGGGACGAGGACAAGGGGAGGGTACGCTTCTCAGGCCACAGCCCAGAAACGCCCCTGCCCCCTAGGGAGGCACAAGCAGTGACCACACATCCCCTGTCCGACTGACCTGTAGTGATTTCCTTTTAGCATATGTATCTTCTTATCCATGAAGGCCTGTTGCCTGCAGCTGCTTCTGATACCAAATTATCAGAGTTCAGAATGGGAAGTAGAAGCCCGCAGAAAAAGAATCTAAACAGGGAATCCGATACTAAGCCATCAGGTGCACTGGAAAGATGGGCTATAGTTTGGTCTTCCAGGGAAGACTCTGAACACCCAGAAGTGACTCACTGGAGGAGTTACCGTTTGTGTGGCAGTTAGGCAAGTGTAAAGGCTACCTTAGAACTCAGTCGGATTTAGTGACACAGCAATATTGCTGAGAATCAGGATGAATCAGGATGCCACCATAACTGCAGTTGCCCCCAAAGCTGGATTGGACACTGGAAAGCTGCTGCAGGGAACCCCATGAATCCATGCTCTTGTTTGCCAGGAGGAAACAATGAAAACTGCAGGAATAGGGCTTGTGTCACATCTGCTTTCTAAATTCTTTAAATCTAATGTGCATAACTCAACTTCAAGGGATCTACAAAATGTAGCTTTTTGTTTCCCAGCCTTTTATAGTATGCAAAGAGACTCTGGAAGGAGATCAGAATCGTGGAGGGATCCCTGTTGTCAAATGGCAGGCAGTGTAGGGGCCTGAAGTGGCCACTGGTTTGACAGTTAGAAAAACAACAAGGCTCTAGAGAGGGCAGTGGTGGTGAGAAAAGCCAAACTGTATTGGGTAGAACAGTTAACAAGGCATGAGGATTGAATTCTGTGAATGTGGATGGCTTGAGGTTTCCTGTGAAGGGAAGAGGAGAGGGAGGCAGTGGCTAGAGGGCACATCCAGTCTCAAGGAGAGTTTGGGCTGGATCTTTCCCTAAGAATGGTAGAGAATCAAACATGTTTATGGATGGAAGGGGAAGTTCCAACTGAAGAGAACAGAGAGAGCAAGTAGATACATGAAGGACGGAGAGCTTGCAGCTGGTGGAAGGGATGCTCGCTTTCCATAGAAAGATGTTCATGATATTTTGCTAAGTGACAAAAGAATATTATAAAGCGAACATTGTATGATTCCTTTTCTGGTTTAAAAATATGTGATACTTTAAAAACACTCACTGAATTGTCAGATAGCCTTCATAGAGACAAAATTCAATTCCACTGTTGCAAGGCGGCACCACTGAGCTGGAGCAGCGCAGCCAATGGCATCGGCTTGGGCAGGATAAGAGTGGGAGAGGATGGGATGGAGGATGGCTGACTTGTATTCTCCATTCGGCCACAGCCTGGCTCTCTCCATAGGCCTCACGCTCAAGTCATGATCTCAGCTCAGCCACCTTTCCAAGCAGGCTGCCAACAGTTCTTGAACCAGCTTCAGAAGCCTAGGCATAGCCCCTCCTCATCCCATCCACCTTCAACAATCCTGGAGACATCCAGGTTCCCCATAGTAGTCTGGGGCCACATCCCGAAAAAGCACTGATGTGATTGCAGTACAGTCCCCTGATGTGTCCTGTTACCCCCAAATCATGGCCACAAAGTTTTGCTGACCAATGCTGTCTCATAAGTACAAGACTTCCTTGAAAATACCTTGATATGGCTTAAACTAACTTAGCTTTTCTCAAACTCCATATTATCTCTCAACATGACAATTTACTATGCCAACCATATGAGTGTATGTATATATGATATTTATACATATATACATATGTATATAAATACTCTATCCTGTGTTATTATTGTATGTGCATTGTAAGTCTGGGACCATTTTTAATCATATCATTGGCTTCAGGCTTTTCTTTTTTTTGGGGGGGAAGTGGTGCCTAATTAAGTGAATTCAGGCTGAAAAACCTATATGAGGGTAGGCTCATGGACCTAGCTGATAAACAACAGTAAAAGGGTAAATAAGTTTTAGTATATTCATCCAGTGAAATAACACATTGCAGTGAAAGGCTATGCATCTGAGAGGATTAACCCTGCACTGGAAACTGTAATGGAAAACTCCCCTGAAGCAGCTGTCTTGCAAGACAAGACTGTGCTGATTCTCCTCAGGGCCACCCCCACCACTTCTTTTGCTTCCAGGCATATAATTAGACTCAAGTCCCCACAGGTCCCTAAAGGTGAGGTGTAACCCACAAGGACATGTGCTACACACCGAAAAACTGCATGATTTTTCCAGTTTATACAGACAGTGAGCTGGGGAATATGAGATTGGAATGTTAGAGTGGAGTGTTATGTAAAACCCGCTCACCAGCCCCAGGAAGGTGCAAAGCACACAGTTCTCACCATGACACATCCCTCCCACCCTTGCAGCCTCACCCCACCCAGCCTGGAAGAGAAGAGAAGAGCCATGACCCACCTTTACCAGTACTTTTCCTAGTTCCCTGGATCAGACCAGCTTGTCATATGCCCAGCCCTGAACCAATCAGTGTGGCCAATGGAATGAGAAATGTTATTTGGCTTAAACCACTGAGGGTCTATACCTGGGTCTGGGGATAGGATCAGATCCCAAGCCGCATAGCTGAAAATTGGTGGTAGGGGGTGAGGAGTACAGTTCTCAGGAGGAATTCGGTGTGCTGTTACCTGGAAAGGGAATAGATGGTGGGCACTAAACAGATGTCCCCTGGCTGAATTTCCTGTTGCTGCAGAGGGAAAGCAGTGCAGACTTAGGATCCAGGCTTGTTCTGTAACTAGTCGCATCAGGGCAGGGCAGGCTGGGTTTCTGTGTTCTCAATCAGTGTGATGGATTTGATATTTTATTCTAACCATGTAAAAGCTCTGTACTTAGAGAAACATTTCAAACACATGCATAAACATATCTAGACAGTTGGACTAAACCAAATCCCGTTTATTTTTATAGCCAGTCAAAGTGCTGATTTAGAGACTGTCCTAGTGCTGGAGGAGGTCATGGGGGATGTGGTCGCTGGTTGACTCCAAGCTGGACCCAGGAAACTGGAAGCCCATCCCCAACCCCATCCTTGGAATGTGTGCTCTGCTTGCCTTCCTCAGGCCAGAAGCTACCCAAGGACACAGCTTTGAGACAGTCATGTGGTGTTGAGACCATCTGGATGGCACACAGGATGGAGCCCAGTTAAGACCTCTACATAAACTTTAAGATTCTGGCAGGCGGGTGCAGAGATCTGTTCATCTTGTAGCAGCCACCCAAGACAAGCTTGGTAAGTATGTTCTCTTGCTTATTAAACCTGCCACCCACCAATCTGCAGTAGTCTGCCTCTTTCTTCAGTCTCTCCCTGCCTTTTGCCTTTAGGGCCAGTTCAGAAGTTCCCAATGAGGTTGTGAACTAATACCTAGAGTGTCTGGAGCAACTTGATTTTATTATTTGTGCCTCAACTAGAAGTGGTAACAGCAACCTCCCACTGATCACTTGTATAGGCAAGCTCTGTATATTAAGTGCCCTCCATGCATCAGCTCTTTAAACCTCCCTCAACCCTATGAGCTTGATATCATCTGACTTTCCCGACAAGGAACCCGAGGTTTGGGGATACAGGTAGCTTGCCCGAGCTAACACAGCTAATAATGGCAGAGCTGGGCTCTGAACCAGGCCTGCCGGACTGCGAAGTTTGTTCTCTGTGATGGGTATCATGCTTTCCCCGTACCCCTAACCCCGCCCCACACACCCCCGCCCCATCTTGCAGCCTGCATATTGGCTATTAATGAAAAAAAAATTCAGATTCAACCTTTCCAACCCAGTGCTAAGTTTTATCTCATCTTCTATCTGAAAACTCTACTCTAAAATTCAGGATATTCACTGGCTCTGGAAAAATAGTCTGTATGATTCGGTTGCAACGTTAGAGCAGAGGCTGCAAAATTTATCTTTTAAGCTCCATGAGGTTTTAGTATCAAGAGGCTCCTTTTCAGCATCTGCCAGATTCCTATTCTGTTGCTTCACTCTGTCGTGTCTCCTCTGTTATGACCTGATATCACGCCTGCGAACAAAAGCTGTTTAAGGTCAGCCTTTAAAATATCAAAGCTGAGAAGTCAGGGAACAGTTGCCGTATGTGTCTCTGGGGGAGCAGCAAACACGCCGTCAGACTTGTTTTTCTGTTCACCCGAGATAATACATTGGTGTTGATAAAAAATGTCCATCATGCAGTAGGCTTGTGTTCCTGCTGGTCTTTGAGTTATAGGAGTGAGAATCCCCATCAGGAGGAGTCTGCTGAGGCTGCTGTAACAGGATACCCCAGGCTGGGTGGCTAATAAACAACAGAGCTTAATTTCTCACGGTTCTGGAGGCTGGACGTCTAAGATCAGGGTGCCAGCATGATGAGGGCCCTCTCCCTAGCTCAGAGCCAGCACCTTCTCACTGTGTCCTCACATGGTGGAAGGGGTGAAGGAGCTCTTTTACAAATGGCTGGTGTCTCTTTTTCAAGAACACCAATCCCATTCGTGAGGGAACCACCCTCTTGACCTAAGCAGCTCCCAAAAGTCCCACCTCCTGGTCCCATCACATTAGGATTTCAACATATACATTTGGGAAGGGGTTGGGCACAAACATTCAAACCATAGTGGTAAGTTTCTATCACCTTCCAAAAGGGAGGTTCCAGGATGTTGGAAACTTGGAGGGAGAGACTGGAGACAGTGGGGTCAAATGTAGTTCATTTTTGCAGAGAAATGGATGGAAGCTGTTGAGGTTCCTAAGTTTCCAGAAGTGTAAGAACCAGGCTGCAATGTTGGTTTGTGAATAGGAGCTGGTGAATAGGATGGGGCTGTGAGACCCAGATATGGAAGGTACCCTCATCCTACTTGCACATGTCATATATAGACACTTAACAGAATGTCATATTAGCAAATGTATTTAGCAAATGTCATATTTAAACACTTAGCAAATATGGTTAGCAAGCAACTGGGTTACTCAACAGAGGCCTCAGTTTCCCCATCTGTAAAATGGAGATAATAAGGCTCACTGTCCCAGACTGTGGAAAGGGTTAAATGAGATCTGTATGTAAAGTTCCTGGCATTTAGCAGGGCTTAGTAAATAGCTGCTATTTTTATCAACATTTTGAGTTTGTTCAGACAATTAAACATATAATTTACATTATAAAGACTAACAAATGTTATCCTCAGCAGATGCCGATTTGTGGAACCAGAATAGCATCTGTAGCAGCTGAAGTCATCCTAGGCTCTTGGCCCAGTGTCTTGGGAGCCATTTGACATGAAGATGGCAGCCAGGGTGCTTTGGGGCAGCCTCAGCCTCCTCCGCCTGGTGTGGTGTCTCCTTCCACAGACAGGCTATGTGCACCCCGATGAGTTCTTCCAGTCACCCGAGGTCATGGCAGGTAAAGCTCCCCATGTGTGGTTAAGATAAGTTGCAACAAAGTCTGATTGAAGAGCTGATTGGATATTTAGTGTGGAGGGAGAAAAATATGCAGGTGAGCAGTAAATCCACCAGCCTTTCTGGCATAAGAACTTAGGAGTGGGGCTTCACATCACCTTCCTAAATGGTGACAGTGACCTTCTAAATGATACCAGTGAAATGCCAGCCTCTTTGATGTTTTCCTGCTGATACCAACAGTACAGGTCATTCAGAATGAAAACTGATTTGGGCTTCTCAGTGGAAGGATTTTGGAGTTGGGCTTCCCCAGTGGTTGCAGAAGCTTACACAGGGATGTAATATAATGAAACTTTTCTTCCATACATTCATGTGATGGCTGGCGGAACCCAGACCTAGAATGTTCACTTGTTAGAACTTACCTTCTACATGGTATAGGACATATCATGAAGTTGGTTGCCAGATACCTTGAGGCTTTTCAGATACTGTGATCACGAGGCTTCCTCCTCATGGTTCAAGATGGCTGCTTGAGCTCCAGCCATTGAGTCTAAAACCAAGTCTTTCCAGCCACCAGAGAAGAGATGGGCATGCCTGCTCTCTTTAACGGCTTATTTTGAAAGTCATACTTTTTGCCCATTTCCATCCCATTGGTCAGAATGTATCACGTGACCACACCTAGCTGCAAAGGAAAGCTGAAAAATATAGTCTTTATATGTGACCAAATGCCCAGCTAAAGAGACCAAGGAAGAAAGAGCAAATGGATACTGGGGAGACATCAGGTATTTCTGCCACAGGGCTCAACAGGTAGATTTGGTTTTAAAGCTGAAAGGCCCAGTCTTCTTTTCTACCCCTGTTTTTTTTGTCGCTGTTTTTTTAACCTGAGCCAGTAAAAAGCAGCCAGATTGATCTGATCTTAGATTTTCTGTTTCCCTTTCACCTTCTGACATAGAGAAAACTGCCAAAAGGCTGGAGGAATAAGATGGAGATGTAAAGAGCCTTAAACAATCAGCAGTGTTATCAAGTGTGCGATGCTGTGGGGCTTGGAGCTAAGATGCAGAAATTAAGAGTTTGTCTCCCTCACTCTTACCTTTCAGAGCTCTGGGACGGGGCACAGGGTCATGACTAGCCCCAGGCAGCAAGTAATTTTAATATAATTTTACTGCTTGAATACACTCTTCTTATTAAAAAAACCCTAAGAATTGTTTTGTCTATAAAACTAAAGTCACTTGTGACCATAACCACAGTTGCTCATTCTCCCCCCCGATCCTCGTGCTGCCTGTCCGTGATGACAGTCACAATCACAGAGGTGCATGTTTGACTCTGGCTTTGGAACTTTAGAACTCCTAGGAGATGAATGCAGTCTCCCACTGCTCCTCCCCAGCCATCTTGTCCAGAGCACGTTCTCACCTCACTTCCCAGGTGTGGGGCCTTGGAAGGGCAGAGCTCCCCTGATTCATTTCTGCTGCGTAACAACCCATCAGAAACCTAGAGCTTAAAACTCTCAGCTCACAGTTCCGTAAATCAGAAGTCCAGCCTGGGCTCTCTGTTCAGGGTATCATAAGGTATGGGCTGATTTCTTGTCTGGAAGCTCTGGGGGAAGTCTGCATCTAAGCTCATTCTGGCTGCTGGACAATTTTAGTTTATTGAGGCTATAGAACTAAGTCCCATTTCCTTGTTTGCTGTCAGCCAAGGGCTGCTCTCAGCTCCTAGAGGCCACCCACATTCCTTGCCAGTGGCCCCCTTCATCTTTGAGGGGGTTGTTTGTTTTAGTTGATTTACAACATTAGTTTCAGGTGTACAGCAAAGTGATTCAGATATATATATATATATCTGAATATATATGTATGTGTGTGTGTGTGTGTGTGTATATATATATCCAATTCTTTTCTATTAAGGGTTATTACAAGATATTGAATATAACCCCTTGTGCTATACAGTAGGTCCTTGTTGTTTATCTGTTTTACATATAATAGTATGTGTATGTTAATCCCAAACTCCAAATTTATCCCCACCCCCCCTTTTCCCTTTGGTAACCATAGTTTGTTTTCTTTGTCTGTGGGTCTATTTCTGGTTTGTAAATAGGTTCATTTGCATCATTTTTTTAGATGCCACATACAAGTGATATCATTTGATATGTCTTTCTCTGTCTGATTAACTTAGTATGATCATCTCTAGGACCATCTATGTTGCTGCAAATGGCATTATTTCACTCTTTTTATGGCTGAATAATCTTCCATGGTGTATATATACCACATGTCTTTTTTATCCAGTCATCTGTTGACTGACATTTAGGTTGTTTCCGTGTCTTGCTATGGTATATAGTGCTGCTATGAACAATGGCCCCCTCCATCTTTAAGCCAGCAAATCCTTCTCGTCTTAGGTGTCCTCTTCTGCCACCAGCTGGAGAAAACTGATTTAAAGAGCTCCTGAGATTTTGTCACGCGCACCCAGGTTATCTCCCTATCTTAGGGTCAGCTGTCCCCGGCAACCTGACCTAATCACAGGAGTAAAATCCATCATCTTCCCAGTCCCAAGGATTATGTTGGGGCTTGGATAGTAGAGGGCTGGGAAACCTTGATGGCCATCCTAGAATTTTGTCTATCACATTCTCTGAGCTTGGACCTGGCTCACCCCTGCTTCTCTCTCTGCAGAGGACGTCCTGGGCATAGAGGCTGCACGGCCATGGGAGTTTCATCCCAGCAGCCCCTGCCGCACGGTGGTCTTCCCCCTGCTGACCTCTGGCTCTGCCTTCTGGCTGCTCAGGCTCTGGGAAGAGTGGGGGGCATGGCCTGGCCCAGTGAGTGGCTATGTGCTGCTGGTGGGGCCCCGACTCCTCCTTACCGCCCTCTCCTTTGCCCTGGACATGGCTGTGTACCACCTGGCCCCACGCTGGGGGGCGGAGCGCTGGAATGCCCTGGTCCTGCTGTCTGGTTCCTACGTCACCTTGGTCTTCTACACAAGGACCTTCTCCAATGCCATCGAGGGACTGCTCTTTGCGTGGCTGCTGGTACTGGTATCCCCCCGTGCAGCTTGGACCCCTATACCCATGAAGCCTGCTCCAGGACCGTGGTGGCAGAGCTGGCTTCTTGGGGGCATTGTGGCTGCTGGCTTCTTCAACCGGCCCACCTTTCTGGCCTTTGCTCTAGTCCCCCTCTTCCTCTGGGGAACTTATGGAGCCACAAACTCCAGCTTGAAGTCACTGACCAAGGAAGCCCTGGTGTTGCTCCCAGGGGCGACCCTCACAGCAGCAGTGTTTGTGGCTGTGGACAGCTGGTATTTCTCCAGTCCATCTAGATCCAGTACCCTTGTCCTTACACCTGCCAACTTCTTGCACTACAACCTGGATCCTGTAAACCTGGCAAGGCACGGCACGCATATGCGGCTCACTCACCTGGCAGTCAATGGCTTCCTGCTCTTTGGGGTGCTGCACGCCCAGGCCCTGCAGGCTGCGTGGCAACAGCTACAAGCCTGCCTCCAGGCCTTCGCACCAACGGGCTTCCCGAGGATGCTGGGCGCCCGGAGCCTGCGGTCCTGCTCCAGGTCTCACCTCCTGCTCCTCTACTTCATGCCCCTGGCCCTGCTGTCTGCCTTTAGCCACCAGGAGGCTCGGTTCCTGATCCCTCTCCTGGTCCCCCTGGTTCTGCTTTGTAGTCCACAGAGCCAGCTCGTGCCCCACAAGGGCACTCTGGTCCTCTTCAATGCCCTGGGCGCCCTCTTCTTTGGCTGCCTGCACCAGGGGGGCCTACTGCCTGGCCTGGGGCATTTGGAGCAGGTGGTTCACACTCCCATGCTCCCGCAGGTACCTACCCACTACACGCTTCTCTTCACCCACACCTACATGCCCCCCCGGCACCTCCTACACCTCCCAGGCCTGGGGTCGCCTGTGGAGGTGGTGGACATGGGTGGGACTGAGGACCGGGTCCTGTGCCAAGTCCTGAACAGCTTCATCAGACAGCCAGCCTGCCAGGTGGCTGGTGGGCCATGGCTCTGCCGTCTTTTTGTGGTGATCCCTGGCACCGCCAGGCCCACCGTGAAGAAGTGCAGCTTCCCCCTCAAGAATGAGACACTCATCTTTCCCCACTTGACCCTTGAGGACCCACCAGCCCTGTCCTCCCTGCTGAGTGGGGCTTGGAGGGACCTTCTCAGCCTTCACATCCTGGAGCTGGGGGAGAAGCCTGACAATATGACAGGAAGTCCACTGTCCAAGATTCAGCCATAGGTGAAGGTACCGCTCCGTCTACATGGGTAGCTGGATGAGGACAGAGCCCTGACTCTTTTCCTTTCCAGAATTCCCACCACTGTCTCTCCTGTGCACAGTCTTCAGCTGCTTCACCTTCTGAGTAAACTGACACCCATTTTCCCTCAAAGACCAAAGATCTGACCAACCACAGTCCTGATGCCAAGGTCCCCAAAGAATTGATATAATCAACAATGCCGAATGTCTGTCCCTGCCCTATTCCTTCCAGCCACTGTGATGTTTTAAATATATAAATAGTACCTGGGTGTGAAAGGAGACAATGATCTCCTAATGACATTCCTGAACGACCTCTCCCAAACCTTCCAGGATGCCTTACTTCTTGCTGGCATGACAACCCTTAGGCCTCCTAGGTAACTGGAAGGAGGCAGTGTAGTGACGTAGAAAGAGCAGGTAGCTCAGATTCAGGGCACCTAGTTCTAGTCCCTGGTCTGCTTACACTGGCTATGTGAGCTTAAAAAAGCCCCTTTCCTTCACCCAGCCTTAGTCTTCCAATCTGTAGGATGGATCAGAGTGTCTCTGAGGTGTCTGCCAGCACAGGAACACTGTGTTGTTCCTGAGCCTGCGGCATGTGTCCCCTGGCTAGATAGGCATGTCTCTCTCAAAGCTCTTTAAGTATAGAAGTAGGTGTGGTGTTGTATTTTATGGCACTTTGGTGCCTGCTGTCTCATCGCTGTCTCTGGAACTTTTCTCCGCACCCAGTCTCCTCTACTCCTGTCCTGAGAGAAGTAGTGGAACACTTCTCCATCTCACCTTTCAGGGATCGGGGAACCCAGATGTTCTCCCTCCTCTGCCAGCCCCAGGGGAAATGGAGACACCAGGCTCAGTCAGCATCAGTGGCACTTGAGCACAAATCCTTAAGTTTGGTCTTGTTACTTTCCAAGCCCCTGTCTGAAGCTCCTCTTCATAAGATGGAGAGCAAAGAACCCCTGCTGCCCTGGTGGAAGCCATCACGCCTGGGCACGCTGCTCCCTCCGACACAGGGCACCCCAACTGGGACCCTCGGGGACTGCGGCACCAAGCCTGTCCTCATTCTCCCTCCTCGCAGCCTTGACATCTCGTGAGAAGAGACGCCCAGGCCACAGACAGCAGTATGTTGGAGGTCAGCACAGAGCAGGAGACCAAACCTGTACAAATGACCAAATCTGAGCACTTTTCTAGCCCTTACTTCTGCTGCCTGAAGCCTGTGTCACCTGAAAGTTCCACTCCCACAAGTAAGCTGCTCTGATGCTGCTGCTGGGGTCTTAGTGCCACACGTTCCTCGGGACTCCAGCCCCTAGGGAGAGGAGTCAGTGGTATGCTGGTAAATGTTTAGCAGCCCCTTCTCTGGGGCAGAACAGCCCCAATTTGTAGCATTTGTCAGTTTCTGTGCTGTAAATACCCTCACCATGGCCACTTTCAAACTGCTAAAATTATATTACCGAACTCCGAGTTGGGAGGAGATGCCAAGGACCTCTCTCCTGAGTCAGTGCAAGCTGGCTGTAGCACACTCTGGAGAGTTCCCTCTTTTAGACTCTGTAGTACCCGTTCATGGTAGTTCCTTGTTCTCGTGGTTTATGTTTCTGTTTTGACCCTGAGATTGTCTTCCTACTGCTACTGGGCACCTGATAAGCACTTATTTGCTTACTGTGAAGCCAAAGATGGCTTTTCTGACTATAAAAACCAAGTGCCACTTGGAGACATCCTAGACTCTAAAAGTCCCAAATTCCTCTGGGATTCTTGGGACTTCTGTCTCTTCCCTCCCCAAGTTGGGTTCACAGCCTCAGAATTCCCTGGAGGAACAGCTGGCATAGCAGTCCACATAGATTGCAGTGGTCTGAGCTCTATCAAATTGATCTATAAAGTGTTGGTATCTAGATTTGTGTGGCATTAAGGGGTGATTTAGAATTGCCCTGCAGGGTAGCGGAGTTTGTTGCTTCTCTGCTTCACTTTCTGGCAAAGCTTAGAAGAGCTTGAAAGGCACGCTGGGAGATTGCTGCCACTGGGGATGGTGGGAAGAATTTGTCCTGTTTATTTAGTAACAGGGTAACTGCTGGGATGACAAGCCAGTGACTACAGTGGAGGCTTCCCCAATGAAGCAGGGAGGCATCCAAATCACCTCTAGCTGGAGCAGAAAATGCCCAGTTTTCTGTCTCTGCTCTCAGACTTCTACAAAAATGGAGAGAACTTAGTCCTTACTTTTTCCACAAAAAAAATAAACAACTGCCTCCATCTCCTGCTGTCCTTCCTTTCTTACCAAATGGTCAGTTGGTCTAGAAGCTTCATTATTTCCTGCACTGTTCCTGTTTTTGTCTCTGCCAGTCTAGAGAAAGACCCAGATCTGAATGTGCTTGCTCATATTGAGGGTAGGGGGTCTGGCTGGGGACTGCGAACATTCTGCCGCTGACACCCAGTTCCAGAGAGTCAGATTGACACCAATGAGGCAAACAAGGCAGTAGAATGAACAAGCTCCTAGGGCTCCTCACTGCCAAGCTCACAAGAGAATCCAGGGAATTGCCTTTGGTCTGGGAGAGGGAGGATACTAAACTAGAACTTTGGTCATGAGAAGAGTAGGACACTGGCCTCAAAGAGGATATTAAATAGAAGCACCTCTGATGGGAAGACTGGAGAATGGGCTATCAAATTAGAACTTTCACCGTTAGGAAAGTGGAAGACAAGCTACTTTTACTTTTCTATCCCTGGGGAGGGGGTGTCTCTGGCCCTATCCAGCTCCCTCTGTGACTGGTGGAGAAGTTAGAGTGTAAGTTCTAATGGTCACCAGCCTAAAAGCTTCTCCTGTGGCTTTGAGCTTTCTAGATTGCATGATTTCTAGATGTAGCCTGATTAAAGGGGATCAGAAATTCAGGAGGAAGCCTCAAATGACAGCATTTGTATACAATGGATTTCCTAATCATGGGTCTATTAGCTGTACCAGTCTTGGATTGGATCCCAGACCTCTAAAATAGGGACTAGGAATCCAGGTAGCGTGTTCCAGGATAGGCAATAGTCCTAACGCCGAGTGGCAGGGAAAGGAGGCAGTGAAGGCCAGGGTAAATGCTGCAGCGAGCTATGATTAAGGACTTGGGCTCTGGAGTTAAACCTGTATCATATCCCACTTGGTAAGGCCCTGGGCAACTTAAGAAGTAGCCTGCACTTCCTCATGTGAAAGTGGTTGGAAGCAGTGAGATAACCCACACAAAGTGCAATTAGCAAATGCCAGCACAGTAGTACTCAATATGTGTTAAACTAGTATTATCAGAGGCCTACAGTCCCCAGGAATCCTAATCCACCTTGCCTGCTAAGTTCCACACTCATACTGAAACCATGGGTAATGAGTTCCATCAATTTTACCTGCCTCCACCAACCAAGGTCATTTTAAGACTTGCACGTCCTTCAAGCAGCATGAAGCCTAAACAATGTTTGCTGGAGTTGTTTTCCAGGAACTTGCAGTCAGCTGTGTCTAATTCAAGATGAACTAGTTAAGACTGGATAGGACCCCTGACCCTCCAACTGGGCATGCGCCAGAGTCTGCTCTGACCTTTTGACATCAGAGGGCTGAAAACTCCACCCTCAGCTGGTGCTGAGTCTCCATTTTCAATGTGCAGAAGCCTGTAGCTTAGTTAACAACTGTGTAGAACTAGATAACCACACCTTTCTCCAATTACCTTTCCCCACACCCCCCACCCCCTCAGACGGCCTTGCTTCTTTATAAATACCCTTGCCTTGGGGAAGATGAGTCTGAGATTAGTTCTCCCCTCTCCTTGCTCGGCTGCCTTGTGAATAAACTCTCTTTGCTGTAAACCGCTGCATCGCAGCATTTGGCTTGATAAGTGGGGAAAAGAATCTGGTCCAGTAACAATACCCATTACTCAGCTCACACATTTAATCACAGGACTTTGGCAACTGCAAGATTGTCTTTCTATCCAGGATCTCCCCTGGAAGTAGCCCCTGCGACATCAGTTCGGAGGCAGTACCATCTGTTACCAGTTTTAGTCCTATTCGCAGAGGGCAGACTCTCTTTCTGGCTGTACTTTGGTCCATGGATCTCTGCTCATGGTGTACCAGGGCCCAAATGCTTTTACTTCTGTCACGCTTCGGGGGTTTTCTTCACACACTGTGCTCTGGTCCAGTTCCAGAACTTCACCAGGGATGTCGGTTAGACCTGGGCTCTCTGATGGGTGGGACTGTAGGCGGACAAACTGAGTCAGGATTCGAAGCCGTGCCCAGTGTCCTGGATGACTCCGTAGCGCGGAGGTCGGGGTCGAGCCCAGAACGGAAAGCAGGCGACCTCGGCCCCGCCCAGCCTGGGTTTAGGGATTGGCTTCCGGGCCCTTCTGGCTACCTGGTGGTGGCCGCGGGCGTTCCTGGAGTCCGCGGCGTAGCTCTCGAGTAAAAGTGTCTCTGAAGCGGGCAGCGCGGCGGCCCAGGGAGGCCGCAGGCCCAGCTGCAAGG